CTCTATTTGAGCAGAATTAGGCTGCCTTTTTTTTTCATAGTTGGTACTCACACACACATGCCTATGGTGTTGAGAGAAAGAACTCATTTGAGTCCTTTACTCCTGTAACCTTTGTTCTTTCTTTCCTGTTCTTTTTACTTCTTGATTTCTTTTTGGTGTGAATCTTAAGGGCTCGCTCTGCTCTATTCGAGGAATTAAGCCAAATTCATTAAGGTAGCGACTATCCCAAATCTTCCAAAGCACGGAGTTGTTCAGAAGCATTCAGCAAGGGGCTTTGATATTTTCTCGATTATTCAAAGTACATTGGTGGGGAAGTTCGATCGAGATGTTGAGAATTTGGAAAAGATGGAAGAAGTTCGATCGAGATGTTGGGAAGGAGAACTCAATTGTTTGCTTATGAAGTTCCGCATTATTTCATGGAATGTCCGTGGTCTCAATGATACGGATAGGAGGAAGGTGGTGAAGTTGGTGGTGAAGTAAGTGGGGAGCTCAAGTGGTGTGTTTCTAAAAAACGAAACTTGCCTCAATTTTGAATAGGGTAGTTAGGGGTCTTTGGGGTGGGAGATTTGTGGATTGGGTGGCTATGGATATTTCGGGGGCATTCTTCTAATGTGGGACAAAAGATTTCCAAGTACGGTGTGTGGTTCAGAAGATAAACGGTGTATTGAGCGTTCTCTACAGAGGACGATACTTTCATTGGGTCTTTTCGGGTGTTTATGGACCTATAGAGGATGACGTGCGACACTTGTCATGGGAAAAACTTGGTTCTGCTTGAAGGAGATGGCCCTTTCCCTGGTGTGTTGGGAGGAGAATTTAATATTATTTGTTCCCCAATAGAAAGTTCGACCAAGGGTGGGTGGACTTCGGCTGTGGAGCAGTTTTCAAGGTTCATTGGCGACTTTCAGTTACGTTGGAGGGAGCGTCTTTCACTTGGTCTAGCAGAAGAATGTCTCAAACGCTCTCTCACCTGGATAAATCATAAACACCTGTGATAACTCATTAAGCTAGGAGTTAATTGGCTTATCCTGAGGTTAGTATGATCTTTGATGGAAGTTAATCTTTTGCTGGAAAGAGAAGGATAGTAGGTGGAAGATTGGGAACTCATACCATAATGCTTGACATGGTATTTAGAGGGAACAGAACAAGATAGCCTCTGGAAACATGGAGCTTCCTTGTTCTTATAATGCCTTTAGACAGAATTTGTAATAATATGAAATAAATAAATAAATAAGTAAATGAAAGAGCTCCTTAAAAAAATCATCAAATTGGGTTTATATTCCGTGTTAAATCTAAGGTGTCAATTGTAGACAAAACAATCCAGACACGCCCGTAAAAGACACTGGCAGTAAGAAAATCTAAGTAATGCATGTGGATATCGCACTCATGAATTCTTTGGACCTTGCATAGCTTGATAAAAGAAAATTATATTGACTGACAACTTCCAAGTAGATTTTGTTAAAAATTTACGGGTATTTTAAAACGATTCGGTTGTTCCTATATTTGTACTTTTTACTCAATTTATCGCCACAAAAGCACTTTAGATGTAAACTAAATGAAAAATAACCAAATAAAATGCATTAAAACAACATTCACGTATAAACTTTTATATATAAATATATACATTGGTTCCTTAAATCATACCAGAAATTGCATAATCTGCAAGAAAGAAGGCAACCGACAACACGCTCTGACCAGATTGCAAACACTAGATTTGTCAATTTTGAGAATCATTTGGTAATTGACAGATCGCAAACCCTAGATTAATAACTTGTCTGTCCTCGTTTTTTTTTTTTTAAGAGTTTGTTGGTCATTCAATCCAAATCCTTTGTTCTTGTGTGGGATGATTGAAAGCCTACCTTCCATCTACACTATTTTGATCGATCTCAGTGTTTTTGTTTCTAGAACTAAAAAAATTGTTCATTTTGGTTGGGCAACTGTTGTTGTTGGCTTCATCTTTTCAATCACTAGTACATTTTCAAGATATGATCTTGCCTCCTAATCTACTAATATAGATATACATATAAACAATACAAAGACAATTATATATAAAACAAATATATAAATAGAGTTGCTCATTAGCACGTGAATACGTAAAAGTATATATACTGCTAACATTGTCTTGTTGGCCTGTATTCATCTAATCTAATAAGGTGATTGGTATGGCTTCGTCTAAATTATTATTTTTTTGAATTAATTGTAGATCGATTTGCGTGGCATCATGTAATTTTTATTTATTTTTAACTAATCATAGATCTGAAATGTATTCAACTTTTTGTCCATCCTTTTTGGTATGTTTTAAATTTGTTTGATATCAAATGGTCTAATCTGTATTTTGAACGTATATCTGATTTGCTGGAATGTTTACCTCATTATGAGGTAGCTGATTTGTTTGAATCACTAGTGTATTTTCAAGATACGATCATGCCTCTAATCTACTAACATACAAATACATATATATAACGTATATAAATACACAAAACATACACAATTATATATATAATTCAAATATATAAATAGGGTTGCTCATACGCACATGAATACATAATAAAAATATATAGCGGTAACATTGTCTCGCTGGCCTGTATTCATCTAATCTAATAAGGTGTGGCATCATCTAAAATTTTTTTTTTTTTTTTTTTGAACTAATTGTAAGGTGATTTTCATGGCTTCATCTTTTTTTTTTTCTTTTTTTTTTTTTTACTTTAGATCTGAACTGCATTTAACTTTTTGTTTTTGTCCATCCTTTTGGTATGTTTTAAATTCGCATGATATCAAATAGTCTAATCTTTAATTTGAACGTATATCTGATTTAATGAAAAGCTTTTCTGTACAGTTTATTTGTTTGAACTAACTAGTATTCTTTCTTTCCTTGGCCAACATTTTGAAATAAAACTGGACCGACAGGTATGCAAGCAAAACAAAGGGCTGATATATATAGCCTTGGAGTGCTGATCCTAAAACTAATTACAAAAAAAGACGAAATGTTAATTGCAACTCCAGGTCATGCTGATCCCCTAACAATTGTTGAATGGGCTGAAGAAGAGACAATAAAACATGGGCATGCAGTGAACCGCAATCTAAAGAAAACCGGATGTAGAAAACAGCACGCTTCAGATATAACAGATTTGGCACTGCGGTGTGCAACGATAATACCTTTTGACAACGACTTTGAGGATATCAATGTTCGCCCAACCGTAGCTCAAGTTGTGGCAACACTTCAGCGTCTCTGGGATCATAGACGACGTAGTCCCTTCCAAAAACTAGTTCACAAAATTCAACGTTTGTCTGGAACCACATGAATGATAGATTTTTTTTTTTTTTTTTTTTTGTGTACAAAAACTGCATCCTCAAATTCAAAGATATGAAGCATATTGCCAGTTCATATTAATTTCCTCTACACATGTAGCATGTATCATGTCGCATTGAGAAATATTGCGATGTATGCTAGTAGCTATACCGTGAAACATGCAACAAGTAATCTCTATGTGATTAGTGATGAGCTTTTCTGTAACTTCATTTTCCGCATTCATGGCTTCAGTAAATATATGCCTCTGTTTGTGATCCGAAAATAGTAACCGTTGGCTCATCCAACAGATGTCAGGAAAACAATCACTTTTAGGTACTTCCAGTAATCTCATTCCAAAATTCATTCCGAGAATTCACCAAAGTAGCTTAAATATGTTTCACCTTGTTCTAGGAATCAAAGCTTCTACTTGACCAGCCTAAGTTCTGTTTACTATTCTCACATATAGCACCAACCGAAAGAATTGATGAATGGCAAGTTTCTAGAACAAAAAATAAGTGAAATAAAATTTCAATTGCAAGAGGGACGAGGAGTCTGGATCATCTCCTTCTCCATTGCCCGGTGATTAGATTGTTGGAAAATGCTTCTAGGCATCTTCAAGGTTCAATGGGTGGTTACACCTTTTTCTATGATGAATGCTCTTGAGGTTTGGAGAAGGGGCCTAGTGGGTGCTCAAGCTCGAGATGCTTGCCTTGTTGTGCCCCTGTGCTTTTGGTGGTCTTTGTGGGAGAGATAGATAGATCCTTCGAGATAGAGGAAACTCCTATTTGTGTGCTTAATTTTTCTAAACTCCACTCTCTTTATTTTGGCTTCGGGGGAGAAATTGTAAATCTATAAGGAAGAAAGCGGATTTTATGGATACGTTGAGTGTGTAGGGAACCTATTTGGTCCTTGTGTAGATTTTGGGATGCGCTTCCCTCTTGAGCGTTTTCTATAATACGTTACTCATCAAAAAAAAAAAAAGGGGGGCACTCCATACGTTACTTTATTGAAAAACTTTACTTATCTAGGTCATAGCAAGCATGAATAAATGAAAATGAAAAGATTGCATCTAGAAGCACTCCATAAGCTTGACAGAGTTTTTTACTGGCCCTAGGTTTCTACCTCAGTCCAAGCTCTCGAGAAAAACTTAGAGAACAGAAAATATAGTTGCCTTCCATATCCTTCAAATGTAAGACATAATTTTTGCTTCATAACAATTACACTCAATTCTTGAATTCATGAACCTAAGCTCCCAAACAACTATATGAGTGATGTAACATATTCAATGCAAATTTTTTTTTTTTTAATAAGTACATTCAATGCAAAAATAGGTTGGGGATATTGGCAATTGTAGAGTTCTTAATTTCATATTTTGCTGCTTCTGTTGAAACTTTGACGCCAGCAAGAACCCAAATTCGATTATAAAAGACAAGATTTGAGCTGTAAAATTTCTGAGACCTGAACTAAACCGGACTTCGGTTGAGGTATTGGGCACAGGGTGCCCAGAAACATGAAGTGATGACAATAAGTAGAATTCTAAATAAGAACATCAAGAGTTTTTATAAAAATGTAAGTGCAAACAAATCTATTATATCCACAAATATTTGGTAAGCACGTACAAAGATAGTTTTAGTATATAATTACCAACATTATTAAATTAATAAAATAACAATGAACAGAACTGAAGTAATTTAGGAAAGCAGTAGGAACTCACCAGATCTTCACCTTTCAAGGCCACAGATTCCTGCCGCCAATCTGGACTGTGTTTTACATTGCACAAAGGCACATTCATGAGGCAGTTTGTAGTTACCCAAAACAAGAAAGTCAGAGATCCGCATCCCACAAATTAGCCCCAATTTCTCAATCCGTAATTTCCGAGTTTAGAGCACATCCTTCTACTCAGGTGGGCAATCACAGGCATTTTCTCATCTCTCTCTCTTTTCATCAGCTCATTTTCTCTCTCCTAGAAAAGATGACAATTCATAAGGATTGTAAATTGACAGATGAAATATGGAAAAATAAGCAAAAACAGGGAGCAAAAATGGTCAGCAAAAATTAATGAGTCTATAATCTTAGAGCCAATCACATGATTTAAGTGCTCGTCTCCTTAAAGATGCTAGTTAAATTTATTTACAATATTAAATTATAAAGACTCGTCATCTAACTTGGAATTCCAATTCCAACAGTCTCTTTTCTTCTATGTTTCAGATAAGTTAGAATTTATTATCTGAAACAGCCATATGGAAATGGAAGAAAAACCACAGGAAGCAACAACAAGAAAGACAACGATACAACCAAAAAAAAAAAGAATTTACCCAAATGAAAGCACAATCTCTACTGCTAAAAAAACAGAAAACAGAATAACCATACAGAGACGGAAGAAAACCAAGCAGCAACAAGGAGGGGGGCAAAAAATTCATCAACTCGAAAAAATACCTAGCACAAAGAAATCCCAATCAAAACTGCTAAAGAGAGAAAACACAAACCACAATCCTACTCAAAGCCCAAGACAGGGCTCTAAATACAATGAGACTGCAAAAGAAGACATGAAAAGTCTCACTTAAGATCGATGTGAGCAAGGGAAGACAATATTCATAACAGCCTTCAAGAAGTTACGGATTAAGCAAAAAATGTCAGTCTTGTCAATTCCATGCAAATTTCATACATCAGCCGCCTGAGCTATTGCACCCTACGATTACGTCTTGGCCATTTGATGCATGGGGACTTGACGTAGTTGGACATTTCCTGAAATCTTCAAAAGGTCACTTGTACATCCTTGCAGCAACTGATTACTTTTCAAATATGGCCGAAGCAATCCCAGTCAAGAAAGTGAATAGAGAGACAGTGGTGGACTTCATCAAATCCAACATTCTCTTTCAGTACGGTGTTCCTCATCACATTATCACTAATAATGGAAACCCTTTCAAAAATAGTTTGGTGAGCAACTTATGTGAAAGGTTCAGTTTCAAGTAAACACAAATCCTCAAGGAACAATGCACCAGCAAATGGACAAGCATAAGCTTTCAACAAGACTCATTATAATTTACTGGAGAAAGTAGTCTACAAGTCCAAAAAGAACTGGTATGAAAGAGTTGGAGAGGCTCTTTGGGCGCATTGAGCTAGCAGTATCCAAAGCCTAACTGGAGAAGTAATCCAAGTGGGAGCAGCAAGCCATACAAACCATCCAAACAACCCTCAAAACCAACAAACACAACCTCTGGAAAGAAAAAAACCGGAACAATTATTCATCTCGAATCCAAAAACATCTACCTAAATACTAAAACAAAGCAAACCAATCTGGATGAACATATCTGAACAATACACCCTCTGTATCAGAAATTACTTAAGCTTCCTTTTTTAACATAAGAATGCAATTTGAAAGTGCCAAGAAATCTGAATATGCCTATTTATACCAGTATTAGAAACCTTATGCAAACTCATTAACTGAAACGAATCGGGTCCATAACGATCTTGATGATAGAATTAGATTCTGTATATCAGCTTTCAAACTGTATTTTATTCCTTTCGTTCCAAATATGATACACAGTTGTTGAAAAGCAAGCTTATAAAGAGTATACTTTGGATATATACCTTTATATGAATCTACAGCCAAATAAATCAAAATTTTCCAAGCGATAATACCAAAATCTTCAGCCCTCATTTTATTTCAAACCAAAATACCCAACAAGCATTAGGTCTCTCTGAAGAGGAGGTGATCCAGCCGCACCTGCCTTCGGCATCCCCCTCCTTGCAGTTAAGGTAACGACTTCAGGCATGGCCAGCTACCATAGTGTGAAGGGTGGTATTTACAAGGCCCAGGAACGAATTCACAGCCGGATAGCTGACCAGCGATTCCGGCTTCATGCGGGCGAGTTGCAGCCTGCAATCCGAACTGATGCCGGTTTTTTGGAGTTAGCTTACCCTAGAGGGATCGCGACCCTTTGTCCCGGCCATTGTAGCACGTGTGTCGCCCAATGCATAAGGGACATGATGACTTGACGTCATCCTTGCCTTCTTTTGGCTTATCACCGGCAGTCTGTTCAGGGGTTCCAAACTCAACGATGGCAACTAAACATGAGGGTTGCGCTCATTGCAGAACTTAACCCAACACCTTACACCACAAGCTGACAGCCTGTCCGAAGTCCCGAAGGCACCCCTCCCTTTCAAGAGGATTCGCGGCATGTCAAGCTTCTAAAGGAAAAGGAACAAATGGTCGAGATACCCACTAAAAGTCTTACAAATGCAAAACTAATGGAGATAATATTTCTAAGAGATTATCCTGAGTCAATAGTTTAGATCACGATATGTACAAAGCCATATCCGGGAATAGATTTTGGAAACCAGACCAATCCATACCATGAAACTTTAGGCAATAAGGCTTAAGATAATTGCAGGCTAATTTAGCAGTGAAATGACATGGGAAGAAGGAATCCAAACAATAATATCAGATTAGTAAACTTATCAAAAAATATATATATATCAGATTAGTAAAGATGTAAAGGTTGCAAAATGATGTCCATCAAGATCTGCAATTTGAAGATTAGGAAGGCCGGAATGATGGATGATTCTATCCCCCATGGGCTGCTCTATAGGCCCTATGGGAAGCCAATTGTCAAACCATAACGAAGTATAAGGTCCGTTACCAACAATATGCTTTATACAAGGTCTAGAAATAGCGCTAAGCTAAAGGACTTTCCTTTGTGTCTGAGAGCAGTCTTTAAAAGGATAATATCCCAAAAACTTCTATGCTTAAAACGTTGTATTCGATCCATCTATTTCAAACTAAAAGGGAGTAAAGCAGCATTAAAAACCAAGTTAGTTTGGCCATTGTTGCACGGTTCCAATAATATACATTCTTAATATCCAAACCACCTTCAAGTATATCACATGTAAGTTAACTGAAGACCAAGCAACTCTAAAGCATACAGAATTTCAACACCCTTCCATAGAAAAGATTTGAATTTTGCCTCAATTCAAGCAACCACTTTACCATGCAGAGTGAAATTTCTAGACCAATATACTTGAGTAATTAATAGAACTGCTATGACCAGCTTTAATCTCCCAGTATCATGGTTCCAAATCGCGAGTGTAGTCGCAGACGGAATCTAACAGTTTCGACCCCGTATCAGCGTAATGTAACGAAATCGGTTATCGCAATCATGAAATTTTTTTCAACCTCGCACATAGAGACCAAAATGCAAAGATACACAACTTTTTACAATAGAAACAATTTAACACAAGAAATGACCAATTCATGAATATACGCCATGTTGATAAAATATACTTTTAAAAAAATTAATGACTAAAAATAAACTTAATTATGAAACAAATAAAATCTAATCATAACATATGACTTATCAAAAAAACATATATAACGTATGAGATTTTTTTTTTTTTTTTTGTATAACATATGAGAATTAAAAAACAAAAAATAAATTTAAAAAGTAATATGAATTGAAAATATTATTTTGTCTGTATATAAAATAAACTATGTAGTATATAATGTGATTTTCTGATTAACATATAAAATAAATTAGACATATAACATGAATATTTTGCTTACAATACTCAATAGTGACAAGCTAAGGGGTCTTTATTGAAAAAATATGAAAGTTGTCCTAAATTGAGCACAAAATGATGTCTAGATGAGTGGCAGGAGCACTTTCCTACTCGCTCTAAAATTCTAAATGATGTCTAAAGGGTCTTTGTGATGTAATATTGTAATTAAAAAAAGATTGTTCGGGTAAAGTAAAGCTTTTCATTCTTAACATAGAAATTTTTCTCCAAAAAAAAAGGCAGAAGTTGAAGAGCTTCGCCACTTCTCTAGAGAGTTCTCTCAAGCAACTACAGTCTTTATGTGCCTACCTTGCGATTAGGAAAATCATTAAACAAAAGGAATGGCAACCAAATAAAAAAGAAGTGGAAACTAACTGCAGATGATCTCATCGGCGATTTGAATAGCTCCAGAGGTAGAGACGATCACATGAAGAAGGCCTCTGATTAAGTATTTCAGACTGCATCTTTGCCTCTGGAAATCAAATCGCATAGATATAAGAACCTAGATGTAAGAGATTTAAGCATTTTGAGTTTTGGAAGCAAAATTTGGAATCCAAACTGTGCAGTGATACTGACAATAGGATTCAGCTAAGTATCGGACCGGTTCTCTAATAACTGGCCGATACTCATGTATACTGGTCTCACCTGTACACTGGCGTGTCTCGGTTTCGGTAACCTAAAAAAACGTTGTGAACGGGACCATGCCCAGCATACAAAAGCTATAATTACCAAAAAAAAAATTGATTTTTGTAGTAATTGTGTTAACTAGAGTTTTGCAATCTGGAGTTTCATATCCAAAAGGTACGGTACCAAGAGAAAAACAAAAGCAAGAGCATATAGAAGCTTTGATAAACTCAAAACGCATTAAAAAATATGAGTTAGTTTTAGAAGGATCAGGATTCATGCCAGATAAGCTAAAAAATATGAGAATGGCTAAATAAACAGTAGAGTCTGAAGCTAAATCGCCATGACAAAAAAAAAAAAAAAAGAAAAGAATATCATCTGCCGAGCAAATGGATAAGACTTGTTTTCACACATCTCCAATGGTACTTAAATGGACGGGTAGCAGTAATCTTCCCTGTATGAATAGAGAACATCTCCATAGCCATTATGAATACACCGAGTCTTGAACCTTTAGAACTAGAGAAGAAATCCTCAAGAGAACCATTGATATTAACAGGAAATTTGGGAAGGTAATGCAGCTGATCAGGAAAGCCAAAGAGAACAAGCAGATCTAATTTGAATTCCCATCTAACTAAATTAAAAGCTTTTGAAAATCCAATTTAATAGAACATCTCGGAGATTCAGCATTCCTATGATAATATCTGAATAATTCTTGAACTAAGGTCAACAAACAAAAACTGAATCCGCTATTGTCCAAGTGATGATCGTAATCACTGATGGAGTCATTCCAGACTATATTATTCATTAAGTTTGAGGAACCTCCAGGATCGAGTGAGCTACCAAAACATTCTCTCCTATTTTCCAGACCTGAACAGGAGCTTATTTGAGTTTCAAAAAATATAGAAGGGAGGACAAGCATGAGCCTGTTAGAAATTATTTTTAAACAAAACTTGTATAAAGTGTTACAGCAATAAAATAGGCCTGAGGTTAGTAATTTTAATAGGGCTAAGAGATCTTGGAACAAGGTTAACAGCATTAAATTTAACTTTAGATAACAAGGACCCAAAGAAGAAGAATGATTAAATACCTTCTGTGATATCTGGTCTGATAATGTGCCACGTATATATAAGGAAATGGGCGTTAAACCATTTTGGTGACTTTAAAATTCCTATTGCATAGCAAACATGAAATAAAATATGAGGGAATGGCTGTTTTTCCATTATTCTTCTCTTTTTTATAAGTAAGATTGTAATTGAAGTACCAACGGGCTGCTGACCTAGCGCCTAGCGGTATCAGGCCCTTACTTCCCAAAGAGAGGTCTGGGGTTCAAGCCTCAGTGGAGGCATGTGTGAGTACCAACTATGAAAAAAAAAAGAGCATAATTGAAATGTTCAAACAGGGATCGCAGGCCACAAAAACAAGCCAGACATTATTTTTTTCCTCCTCCTTTTCATATATCACTTCCTTACTAAATCAGTAAATCCAATAAAGCCATTGAACTTATCATTAGCTATAGCCTATACTTTGTGACACATACCAAGAGCATTCTTATTAACACACAAAAAAAAATACCCATCTGTACTTGAAGCAACCTTATTGCTGGCTAGTAAGCCTAATTTCACATCATCTGGTATCAAAAATAATTTAATAGTATACAATTTCTTTTTTTCATTTACAAAATCTTACCAAATTAAATTTATTGTTGTGTCCGATGATATATATAGTGTTAACAGAATTGTAAAAAGATAATGAGTAGACAGTTTAACCCAATTTTTTCTCCAATTTGATTTCCAAGGCAGGGATTCCAAGTTTTCAAACACAATGACCCAACAATCCGGACCGTCAAAGATGGACATCAAATCAAGATGAAATTAATGAGGTCCTCGCTCTCAATATTCTGTTATCATTTCAAATAGTACACCTAACTAGTCAAATTTCATCTCGATTGGGCTCTTGTGCCCGTCAGAACTCAAAGACACCCATACACATACAGGGAGAAACAAAAATTATAACTAAAAACTAAAAAAGTGTTGCAAAAAACCACACCAAAAAATATATATATTTAATTAATCAAATATTTTCTTTAATTTTTTGAGGACACTGAGAAAAGAAAAGGCAGCAATGTCTATAAGGAAATCACATACAATAATAACAATAAAACATAATTACTTAGAGGAATCATGAAACAATCAATCAAATAAAGGAAATCAGTCGATATATATATATATATACACACGCATATGCATCATATGTATATTAGAGAATAAAACATACCAGATCTTTACCAAAGAAATATATATATATATATATATATATAAGAGAACAGATCTTTACAGAAGAGAAGAAGAGATATAAAAGAACAAAACATACCCGGAGAGAGGGGATGAGCAATTGTTGTAGGAAAGGGTGTGCCCAAATAGTGAAAGGAACAGATCTTGACAATTGAGAGAAGAATAATATATGGGGCTCATAACACAATAGAGAACACAATAGATCCAGGCTGTGGCGAGAAGAACGGGTCATCGTTTCAGAATAGAGATGGGAATTGGGACTTCTATTGGTTTCTTTTTATTTTTTATTATTGGTTTTTTTTATTATTATTAATTATTGTACTTCTTTTCTCTTTCTGTTCTTTTATCTTCTGATGACGTCATGTCATGTGCACGTGAGACGAGTTTAACCGGGGGTTCCAGTTCGAGGGATCCGCTGATACCAAATCTCGTCCGCTGTTTTCCTCTACCTTAAATCCAGCGGCCGAAAGGTAGTCACGTCACACATGTATTTGCTTAAAAGGACCCCGTTTGTTGGTTTGTTATGCTGTCGCTTTGACGGTGGGCGTGGCGCTTCGTAAATTTTCTCATATAGATACAAAATTTTACATTTCGAAAAAATAAATAAAAAGAGTACAGAATTTAATTTTTTAAGAGAATAATTTTTGTTTTTTTAATAGAATAACTTATTTTCTTATTACATTTAGGAAGGATGAAAATAAAAAGTGAACATTTATTTTGTGACGAAAATAATGTTTTTTAAAAATAATATAATAAATGACGTACTTAGATCTTCACTAATAAAAATTTACAATAAATTTAATACTTCATAATTTTTTAAATGATTTATTTTATTTAAATAAATTATTCTATTTGATTTAATTAGTTTGTTTTAATTAAATTATTTTGCATATATTTTATTATATTATTTTATTATGTTTGATTAGTTGTTTTGTATTTGTTTATTTTATTTATGGATAAATTATACTTACGTAGCGGAGCGAGAACGAAAGGGAGAGCGAATTATTAAGTCATAAATGGTGAGAATTTAAGCCAAAGCACGTGCGGAGCTTGAGAGTTACACCTATTGAGAAGGATTGTGTGACTTAACTTACACTCCCTCATGTTTGAGTTAAATACACCTAGTTACAACTTGAACACTACTTGGACAATAAAACACCCTAATTTTAGTAAAGTTAACAAAGATCTCCTCAAACCCATATAAATGGACATCTGAATTGATTAATTTAAATAATGAAACTATCATTTTAACCTTTCTAAACATGTAAATAAAATAACAAACGTTCATTCTACTCTCTTTACAACATCTATACTATTATTAAATGTGCAAAGAGTTTTAGTATTTATTTATTTATTAATATAAAAAAAATATTTATTAATTGATATAAAAGAGTTTAATTGTCTCACGTCGGTTTTGAATTATAAAGGATTGCATAAAAGTTTCTTATAAAAATATAGACCAAAAGAAATATTAATCATACATTTTATCGGCCTTTTGACTAAGATCAAGTATAATATATGTTCTTATAGGTTTAATATTTGATACAAGGGCCACCGGTCCAGTATTATGTGGAGCATGATATTGAACTAAAATTTTAATAAAATAAATTACCAATTAAAATTAAACAGGTAATTGTTTAATTAAGTTAAAAGTTACGTATTAAATATAATCTATATCTATACTATTATTAAACGTGCAAATAATTATAAATGATTACATAGAAATCTCTTATGAAAATATAGACCTAAAGAAATATTAATCGTACATTCCTCGCCCTTTTAGCTAATATCAAGTCTATTATCTGTTTTTATTGGTTTAATATCTGATACAAGGGCCAGCAGCCCTATATTATGTGGAGCACGATATTGAACTAAATTTTTAATAAAATGATTTACCAATTAAAATTAAATAGATAATTGTTTAGTTAAATTAAAAGTTACGTATTAAAATAATCTATATCTATACTATTATTAAATGTGCAAAGAGTTTCAATTTTTCAGTATTTCAAAACTAAATTTTTTTTAAAAATAAATTACTAATTAAAATTAAATAGGTAATTGTTTAATTAAGTTAAAAGTTACGTATTAAAATAATCTATATCTATATTTATATCTATAAAATTATTAAATGTGCAAAGAGTTTCAGTGTTTCAGTATTTATTTATTAATATAAAAAATATTTATTAATTAATATAAAAAGTGTTTAATTGTCTAAATTTTTAATAAAATAAATTACCAAGTAAAATTAAATAGGTAATTGTTTAATTAAGTTAAAAGTTACGTATTAAAATAATCTATATTATTATGAAATGTGCAAAGAGTTTCAGTATTTCAATATTTATTTATTAATATAAAAAAATATTTATTAATTGATATAAAAAAAGTTTAATTGTCCCACATAGTTGTAAATGATTATATGAAAACCTCTTATAAAAATATAAATCTAAAAAAATATTAATCATACATTTCTCAGCCGTTTGGCTAAGATCAAGTGTAGTATTTGTTCTTATAGATTTAATATCTGATACAAGGGCCATTGCCCTGTATTATGTGGAGCATGATATTGAAATAAATTACCAATTAAAATTAAATAAGTAATTGTTTAATTAAGTTAAAAGTTATGTATTAAAATAATCTATATCTATATTATTATTAAATGTGCAAATAATTATAAATGATTGCATAGAAATCTCTTATGAAAATATAGACATAAAGAAATATTAATCATACATTCATCGGGCTTTTGGCTAAGATCAAGTCTATTATCTATTCTTATTGATTTAATATCTGATACAAGGGCTACCAGCCCTGTATTATGTGGAGCACGATATTGAACTAAATTTTTAATAAAATAAATTACCAATTAAAATTAAATAGGTAATTGTTTAATAAAGTTAAAAGTTACGTATTAAAATAATCTATATCTATACTATTATAAAATGTGCAAAGAGTTTCAGTTTTTCAGTATTTCATAACTAAATTTGTAATAAAATAAATTACCAATTAAAATTAAATGGGTAATTGTTTAATTAAGTTAAAAGTTACGTATTAAAATAATCTATATCTGTTGCGGAGTGAGTTTGAGACTTGAGAGGTTAGGAACTTAGGTAAACTTAGGTTTAGGTTTTTGAGTTTTGAGTTTTGAATTTGTGATTTTAATTTTTGATATTTTATTATTTTATCCAATATTTGTCTATCTGATACTAGATTAGTGGATGATTGATAAATTAATAAATTGCACAGCTCACAGCGGCACAGCCCAGTACTAGTAGCCCAAGTATAATTATATAGTAATATATATATATATATATATATATATATATATATATATATATATATCAGTTCCGGTTCCGGAACAGAACTGTGAGCTAAGAAGCAGAACCGGTATCAACAGTTCCTTATTTTAGGAACCGGAACCAGAACCGTGAGAAGCGAAAATTCGGTTCCGGTTCCACGATTCTTTTGTTCACCCCTAATATCCGGTGGGGAGGTGAGTTTGGTGGTCTCGAATCTGTGCCTGGCGATCATCTTTGCTTCTTTTGCTGCACGCGGTTGTGGGTTGTGTGCGATGGTGGTGGTGGTGATGTGATTGTGGTGTGTGCGCGCCTGTGTAGTGTGTATATGTGTGTGTAAGAAAGGGAAGTAATTGGGGGTGGTTGTGGACAGTGGTGGGTGGTGGCGGCAAATGTGGGTGGTGACGGCGATGGTGGGTGGTGATTGTGAGGATGGAGATTGTGGTGGTAAGCGGAGAGAGAGAAGAAGGGTGGGAAGTGGTTGGTGGAGGTGGCGATGGCGAGTGGTATTAGGGTTGATACTGTATAATTAGATTAAGAGAGAAAACGAGGACAGTTTTGTGAAGACTTTCCTGTGCAAATATATATATATATATATATATATATATATATATATATATATATATATGGGTAAAGTGCACTAAATTCCTGAACTATGACCGGATTGCAAGAAACCCTGAAGTAAGCAAAACCCCCTAAACTATCATTTTTGTTGCACACAGTTAATGAGCCATTAACAGATATAGAAAATTACCTTTTAGGCCTAAAGTTGAACGACATCGTTCAGCTACTGATGTGGCAAGTACAATCTCAATGTCTAATAGAAAATTGACAGCACATCAACCTCATCAGTTATCACCATTGTTTTATTTGACTTTTTTCTCTACGCCAAACAGTCCCTCACTTTCATCTGTTTCAGTGATGTTGTACAAACCTAGATTGCTTCCATCATGCATACTGATTAATGCCCTTCAATTTCTGCACATATACCACAAACATGGATGGTGTCTATATATACATATCCATTACGATTTATTTATGTGTTCATCAATATATATTGTATATGTATTGCTTGTGCTTTTCAGGTTTATGTATGTCTATGGATCATTGATGATATATTTCCTCTTTAATAGGACCAACATGGTCTTCCATCCCTTCCCAGATCAAACTAAAACCATCAAAATTCAAGCAAGTCTCTCATATGGGTCTCTCAATTGCTCTAAAATCCTTAATTTTTGTGAGTATTTCGTATAACTTTAATTGGTGATCCATGCTATTACAATGGACGAAGTCAACTGGGACTGGGAGAGAGCATAAGGGACATTTCTGGGCTACCCGAGTGCCGACACACCTTGAAGAAGATGTACGGTAATTTGCTTCAGAGGGTGAAGCTATTAACTTACCGAAAACAAAAAAGAGTGAAGCTATTGAGCCCTCTGTTTGAGGAATTGAACGACGGCGACGAAGAACTTGGCAATGAAGAAGTTCGAGATGACGACGATGATGAGGTTCAAGAACTCGAATCATTAATGGTTGCTTTGAATTCAGCTAAAGAGCTTATTTGATCACATCAACCCATCAAAGAAAACCTTGCACGCCCACCAATCTCCAAGTTCTCCGTTGGAGCCGTCGGTCTGGGCTCATGGCCGGATCTTTCTCGGCGTCAACCTCGAATTCCCCAGCCTCCCCCTCCATCACAGAGTCCGCGCCGAGCAGTTTCTCGCTACCAACCTCGTCGTCCACGTCGAGCCTCGCTTCCTCTGCATAACCGTCTCCACCGCCCCATGCGACCACTGCCGCCAATTCCTCCAAAAACTCCGTAGCGCCTCCGACATCCAAATCTTCATCACATTATCATCATCCGACATCCAATTCCTCTAAGAACACTTGCAGGTGTAGAGAGATAGTGTGCGTCTAGAGTGCGTCTACAAAGAGAAATTGAGAACCCCATAAATTGAAACCTCAAG